CCACTTCTGGCTTTTTTCTTATGTGGTGCTGAGGAATCGAACCCAGGGCCTCGAGCATGCAAGGCAAGTGCTCTACCACTGAGCCACCTTCCCAGCCCCGGAAGCTTTTTTCTACCATAGCATTTCTGTATGATTACAAATTGCTTATGCCTCAGACAGCTGAAGTAGTAGTATAATACAGCATTTCTTGGATTCCTTAGATGAGCTTTGCAGGGGGAAAAGTTAGTTAACATGACTAGACAGTACATTGTCTATCTTTATACAATTTGCTGTCTTACTCAGTTTTTTGTTTATATCTAGTATAGAATGAATGAAACGTTGGCTTCTGGAGCTCACCTGCTTCGGGTTAACCTTTATCAAACCATTGTGTACTTTTTGTGATGTTTGACCCAAATATGCTCAAAGTAACAACTTGTCAGTGTGGAAGATGCTTCCTTTAGTTGTTTTCTCACAGTAATAGATTCTGTGGCACTTGTGATCATTTTTTATTCATGCATAGAGTTTGACCAAAAGTAAATAAATACATGAGTGAACAAGTTAGCAATGGAACTCAACAAGTGTACTAGGATTCTTTTGTAAACTTAAAAGTATGAATGTAAATTCTTCTGCCTAATACCTTTCTTTTCCTTTCTGAAAGACCAAAGAGAGTCTACAGTATGCATTGGAAACACTTACTATGAATGGCTGCTCAGTTGAAGATCTAGGATTGGATTTCACGCTGCCAGGGTTTCCCAACATTGAACTAAAGAAAGGAGGGAAAGATATACCAGTCACTATCCATAATTTAGAAGAGTACCTAAGAGTATGTAACCATATGGCTTTGTGGGGGTCAGGTGGGCTGTGGTGATAAGGGATTTTGCCTATTGTTGTATCCTGTGCAAACGAGAGGAAAGAGATTTCACTGGTGCAGTGGAATACAGGCCAGGGTCATTTGACTTGAGCCCTTCCACACCCTTGGTACCACTCAATATTGCTTTTTAAGTTTGTCTTTAGAAATAAACCAGCTGTTTGTTGACTATCTTGGATAACCTATACTCAAACTTGAATGCAACATAATAACAGCTTATTTTCCTACTTTAAGAAAAAAGATCACCAGGCACTGGTGGCTCACACCTGTATTCGTGGCTACTCAAGAGGCAGAAATCTTGAGGGTCATGGTTCAAAACCAGCCCAGGCAGAAAAGTTTGTGAAACTCTTTATCTCCAGTTAACTGGCAAAAAGCTGGAAGTAGAACTGGGGCTTAAGTTCAAATGTACTGGTCTTGAGCAGTAAAGCTAAGGGCAAAAGCACCTGAATTTAAGCCCCAGTGTGGACACACTCACAGGAATTGCTTTCTTTTGCCTTTTGGTTTCAGGTGCCTACATGTCTAGGCATTGCCTATTTATAAGAGGTACACACTGCAGAATACTTGTGTTCTCAGAACTTAGCAGGACTTAACAGTTGCTAATTGTGAATCTTTATACATTAATTATACTTTATTATTTTGAGAAAATCTCTTATTGGGTAAGGTAGTGTTGATCCTATAGTAGAGAAGTTTTATACACGTGAAGTTTTAAAACACACCAAATACAGATGCAACATCTTTTAAGTTTTTTTTTACTGATGACGAGATTACATATTAAACAATAACATATACGTTTGTTGTCATTTTTGTTGTTGTTGTTTTTGTTTGGTTTTTTTTGCTTGTGCTGGGGCTTGAACTCTGGGCCTGGTTTCTGTCCCTGAGCTGCTTTTGCTTAAGGCTAGCACTCTACTGCTTGAGCCACAGTGCCACTTCGGACTTTTTCTGAGTAGTTTATTACAGATGATGTAGCTTAGTGGTAGAGTGCTTGCTTAGTATGCATGAGACCCTGGGTTCAATTCCTCAGTACCACATTAAAAAAAACAATGAAATTTTTAAAAATTAAAAAGAGTCTTATGGACTTTCCTGTTTGGGCTGTCTTCAAACCACGATCCTCGGATCTCTTTACAGAGGAGCTTGGATTACAGGTGTGAGCCACTGGTGCCCAGCTTGTTACTTTTTAACGTGATCCAGAAAGTTATTTTGCTATATTTTAAATAGTAAAAAAAAAGGGGAGAGAAAAAAAGAAAAATTGAAATCTTGTTTCAGTTTTTAAAAATAATTTTCTTTTTGCAGCTGGTTATATTCTGGGCACTCAATGAAGGTGTTTCTAGGCAATTTGATTCATTTCGAGATGGATTTGAATCCGTTTTCCCACTCAGTCATCTTCAGTACTTCTATCCAGAGGAGGTAAGTCATTTCTTATAATTTCTAGTTCTTTACCTGTAATTATCTTAATGGAATATTTTAGTGTTATGTAACCAAAGACCTCATTGTTCCAAAACCATAGAGGTTTGAGAGCAAGGAGGGGAATTTCAAGCAAGACTAGGAAATTTCCTGAGCAAGAAACAGTATTTAAACTAGGCATCTCCTCCATGTGATAGAGTAAAACATAGCATCATCTGTTGACTGAGACCCACCCCCACCCTGCCCAGCCCCATACTGCTCCATGAGGAATGGGATAACCAGAGCTACTTATGCTTTTTTTTAATGAAACATTTTGTGACCCAGTTTAGTCTTTAAAGTTTTAAGGAAGTATAAATTGGTTGTTGATAGATTCATCTAAGAATGGAAAAAGATATGTGTGGGTTTTGGTTTTTGTTTTTGTCACCATTTATACTGAGTGGTTTAAGTCATCTTTTGTCTTTTTTTAAACTTCACCAATATCGAATGGCCCATAAATGTGTTAAATTCCTCTTATGGGAAGCTTTTTTATTTTACTTTTTCATACTATTTTTAGAGTATTACATTATTGCCTGAGTCTGGAAATTTTGAGTGACTTAGCATTTTAAGCTTGATTTATTTAGTTAGTAGTGGGGCCTGGACTCTAGGCCTAGGTGCTGTCTCTCAGCTCTTCAGCTCAAGGCTAGCACCTTACCACTTGAACCACAGTGCCACTTACGACTTTTTCTGCTTATGTGGTTCTGAGGAATAGATCCCAGGGCCTCATGCATGCAAGGCAAGCACTCTACCACTGAGCCACCTTCCCAACCCCACTTGATTATTTTTTATCCACTTTGATTTACTGCTTATTTAGGCATATACTGTACTTGGTACCTGTAGGCACTTTGTGGTACTGAAATTGAAAGTAGCAAGTGTGGCTTGTAGGACTGAGTCCCAGTTTTCATCATGACCAGGACTTCATGCATGACCTTATCTGAGTTACTATATTTGATATGATAATGACTGATCTATATAGCAATTTTATTACATAAGGTAGCAACAATGAAACAGAAAGTTAGGTGCCTCATAATCATGCACATAGTAGTAGGTACTAAACTTCATTTTCCACAAATTGGATTTTCTTTATACATCTAGCCTTTTACAATAATCAGGGGAAAAATGGCTAAATTTAAAACTGCTGTTAGGTTTTTCTAAGGCCAGAACAGAAAGCCATTTGTCTCACTTTGTATAACTGGCTGGCTGCCCTTGAAATCTTCCTGCTGCAGTTTCGTGAATGCTGGGATTGTAATTGTAAGCCACCATGTCCAGCAATATTTCCAGTATTCATCCTGTAATGTCTAGGTTGGTCCTCATGCAAACAACCATGTGGTATAGACCTACCTCAACCCCTCTTTTTTTTTTTGCCAGTCCTGGGGCTTGAACTCAGGGCCTAGGCACTGTCTCTGAGCTGCTTTTGTTCAAGGTTAGCACTCTTGAGTCACAGCACCACTTCAGCTTTTTCTGTGTATGTAGTACTGAGGAATCAAAATCCAGGGTTTTATGCATGGTAGGCAAAAATTCTACCACTAAGCTCCTACCTGTCTTTATAAAAAAGACCTGCCCATTTGCTTAACTTTCTTGTCCACTTACCTTTCCCACTCAGTTTTTATAATTTTGGGCTTCTATAATTGTATATACCATGTGTACACTTTCAGTTGTGGTACCTGTACTCTGGGCCTGGGCGCTGTCCCTCAGCTCAAGGCTAGCACTCTACCACTAGAGCCACAGCGCCATGTCCATTTTTTTCTGCTTATGTGGTGCTGAGGAATCGAACCCAGGGCCTCATGCATGTGAGGCAAGCACTCACTCTACCACTGAACCACCTTCCCAGCCCCATGGATATACTTTTTTAAAGCCGGGATTCATAAGGTCTCCATGATTGGAGGTAGATTTGCAATTCAAAGCCTCTAAAATAATGAGAAGGGTTAAAATAAAATCCGATTCAAGGTCTGTATCAGACTCTTGCAATTTGAGGTTAAAGATTTTTCTTAATATAGTCCCTGCAAATGTTAATGCACAGTTAAAGAGAAAATAAGGACTCTAATATTTTAGACAGAATCCCTAACTGCAGGATTGGTACTGAAAGATACTGTTAACTTGGTACAAGTATGCCTTTATTTTCACATAGGTATACAGATATTTTATTTTTGGTAATTCTTTATCCTTTATCTCAAAGCTGGATCAGCTCCTCTGTGGCAGTAAAGCAGACACTTGGGATGCGAAGACATTGATGGAGTGCTGCAGGCCTGATCATGGCTACACTCATGACAGGTAACCACTGGCCTTTAGAGGGTGCATGTGTTTAAACAATGAAAGTTTATTTGTGGACGAGGGCACCAATGGCTCAGACAGGCTAAGATCTGAGGATCACAGTATAAAGCCAGCCCAGGCAGGAAAGTCCATGAGAGTCCCTACCTCCATTTAACCACCAAAAAGCCAGAAGTGGAGCTCAAATAGTAGAAGCTAGTCTTGAGTACAAAAACTCAAGACAACACCTGAGCCTTTAGTTCAAGCCCTGTGACTGCGTATGCACACGTGCACTCACCGGGATGCGTGGGTGTGCACACACAGGGGCATACACAATTTATGGGGGGGCGGGCTATTGTTAAATTTATCTGCTAAAAGAAGCTCGTAGACCTTTTACTTTGTTTCTTTTAAAACTTTAAAGGTCCAAAGGTTTTTAAATATTTCTGTAAGGTGAAACAGGTTTAATGTTACTTATCCACTGAGTACACAGAGATTTCAGCTGTGTGAAGAAAAGCAATTTTATTTTATGGTGCATTAATTGTAATGGGGGTTCACATGTAACCATATTTAAAACTGATAATATAGTTATTAACAGTTTCAAGTCAGAGTTGATTAAAGGTTGTACCTTATACAGTGAAATAATTTTGCTTTATTTCTTTTTGCTATAGTCGGGCGGTGAAGTTCTTGTTTGAGATTCTCAGTAGTTTTGATAATGAGCAGCAGAGGTTATTTCTCCAGTTTGTGACTGGTAGCCCACGATTGCCTGTTGGAGGTGGGTACAGTTTTGATGCTTAGTGTTTGTTGTATCTATGCTTTTGTGTGTGTGTGAGAGAGAGAGAGAGAGAGAGACACACACAGACAGAGAGAGAGAGAAACTTCCTAACAGTGTAGATGCTTTTTTGACTTAGAGTTCCTCTTAATTGTTCTAATGTTTCTAAGCTTTCAGTTTAGTAGTACAAGTAAGACCATAACTGGCAGGAAACTTGAGATAGTCTTAAATTTACTAAAATAGAATTACTAATGCTCATATAATGCTGCTTCAAATTTATTGTTTGTACGTTTTAGCTGACTTAGGTGATCAGCTCCTTTGTTGCAATAAGAATCCAGGGATTCTAAAAATTCAATTCTAAAAATTAAGTTAAAATAGTATGCTTCTACAAAACCAGGAAACAGAACTGTTGCCTCTGTTATGTCATGATTTTTTTATTTTTTTTATTTATTTTTTTTTGTCATGATTTTTTTAAATGGTTGCAAAAGCAGGTTTCATACAGTAAATGTATTAAAAGTATAGTTGCCAAGCAAGAAAAAAATCGTAGTGTATGTGCATGTTTATGTTAATATTTTAACATCAAAGCAGTGTAATATTTTCTGAGAAACATTTTTTAATTTGCCAAGTTTCTTGAGCTTTGTTATTTTTTTCCTCATTAGGATTTCGGAGTCTGAATCCACCTTTGACTATTGTCCGGAAGACATTTGAATCAACAGAAAACCCAGATGATTTCTTACCTTCTGTAATGACTTGTGTGAACTATCTTAAGTTGCCGGACTACTCAAGCATTGAAATAATGCGTGACAAACTGTTGATAGCAGCGAGAGAAGGGCAGCAGTCATTCCATCTTTCCTGATCACAACAAGAAATCAGTGTCTGCCTGTTACAGCAAAAGAAAAACAAATCATGATTTCTTTTCTAAATGTATCACCTGGGTCAAGGAAACATGTTACGCCTTCTTGTTGTAGGAAAAAAAGACTTGCAGATTATAAAAGAGATACTTGGTTGATATTCATTAATGGCCCCATGGACTTAAAGTGATCAGGCCCTAAAATGTTGTTGTGATGAGGTTTCTTTAGCAAGTTCTTGTTTAAATTATCATTTATTTGATGAGTGAAGTTTTTAACTTGCTTTGCTGTGTGAAATTTAAAAGGGATGTTTTTCCAGGCTGAACAATAAATGTCGCTGTGCAGTTTAATTCTGGGCTGTGTGTATCCATCTAGCTAAGTCTGCAGTTTTGTTTTCTCCAAAGACAGCTCGTGTACATAAAGTACAGAAATTAAAGCTCACATGTATTTGACAACTGTAGTTCAGTAGATGGGCTCTATGCTTTTCACTTTCTTCTAATTCTCCCTCCCTGACTCTGACTCATTATTGTCTGTGCAGTTCATGGGGTTTTGTGTTGTTTTGTGTGTGTGAGTGTGAGTGTGTGTGTGTACACAACAACACTCAGTTGTGATGTTTCCATCAGTGTGGGCTTTTCTGTTGTCCCATGTTCCCAGATTAAGATATAATTTAAAATTCATTGAATTGAAAATATTGTCAATATAATTTAGCCTTTGTAACTAAGTAGAGTTTTCTTATAGTTTAGTTTTAATATAGTTAATAGTTTATTACTGGCTTTTTGCCAGGTGACACACTAGGATTGTTTACATGGTGATTCCAACAGCAACAGCCTCTGGAATGGAGGCAGGAAAGCTCATTAATTTGTTTTGTGTAGGTTTCAAAAGTCTATGGCTTGAGCTGGCCAGTATTTATTCTACAGTCAGAGCTTTTAAAATTGATGTAAAGTGTTTTGTTGTTATTGTTTTTTAAGCAGTTTTCATTCTCTGTTGGAGTAAGCATTTTTTTTTCTTGGTGTTTTTGTGTTAAGTCTCTGTTTTCGGTCTTTTTTTTTTTTTTCATTCTCATCTTCTTCCAGTGTTCACTTGAGATGAACAGTTCAACTTGGGTCTCCACAGATAAAAGCACCTGTAAACAATGCTGTCCCTTTGTTTTATGTGCTTATTTCTCAAATCTGCAATAATCTTATCAGGTTAATGTTTTTACCTGAAAATAAATAAAGTTTACTTCACCTTTTTGTTTATAGTTCTGTGCTGTACGCATAACATACAACTGTGTAGATGACTAGTTATTGTAAGTTAATCACGTGTTCATGATTTAGGGTCATGGCTGATTTTTCTATTTAAACAATTTGTCATAGCAACTTGAACATAAAATGTGAAAAGAAAGTGGGAGGAGATTCCTTTCTTCCTAAGGCTCAAAATTAAGTCTGTTGCATAAATTTGAATTTTCTAGTATTTCATCTCCTGGAAAATGAGAGATGAGCCAATTTGTCTTTCTGAACTTTGAGAAATCAAAGTCTTACTTAATTGACATAGAAGTCCTTTTCTCTGTCCCATCAACCAGAAGAAATGACCTCGCTAGTTTTATTTTGGTTATTGTCATTTTACACTCCAAGGCCTTATATGGGAACATTCTCTGCTGTGTTTACTCGGACTATAACCCAGTGAGTGCGAAGGACTTGCTGGAGGAAATAGGAGCAGGAAGCTCCTCTCCCTGTGCTTGCAGAGCAGCTCTGTTCTGAAGTCCAAGAAGGAGCTGCGTTTTCAGCTACAAGAGTGGAACTGCTTAGGTGAAATTCGTGGCGGAACTTTTCTGTTCACTTTCGGTATCTTTTCACAAACAAGTACAAAGGCTTTTGTGTGACAACAGAATTTTATTCTCAACCTCCTCCTCCCCCAGTTCTGTTACAATGTCAACTGTATAAACAAATATTTCATATTAAAAGTAACTATTTTACCCATGTTGTGGCACTGGCAGATTTGACCTTATTGATTCCACCATGTAATGAGTACGTAGGAGGATTTTCACTCAAACTCAAGTGGGTAGAGTAAGTAATGTTTAAAAGCTTTTAGTTTTCAACTTAGTTCTTCAATACGTGGGACTTTTGGATGATAATTATAGTTCACTCTGTCCTTGGCATAGGGGGAAAGGTTCGTATTTCCTTTGCGGTTACTCCACTTATGCCTTAAATTTATTTGTTTCACAGACGTTATCTACAAGCACTATTTTCTTAGTGTATGTTCAACACAGGACAGTTGGGTACTGAGATTTTATTGTCCTTTAATTGCTAAGATGGAGGCTTTAGTGCTAACACTATTAGGCAATTTGTATCTGTTTTATGCAAAGAACATGCTAGCTGCTGCCCTTAGGGAAGGAAGAGGGTAAGCTCTCTCTTGCCTCAGAAGTCGACTATAAATTCCTAGGTAGTGTAGTTGGGAGCAGATGCCCTGGCCCTGCTGGGCTCAACCCAGCAAAAACCTAACACAACCACTTGAATCAGATGCAGATTCCTCTTTCTGTGTGTTGGCTCTGGTTCCCTGTGTTGGCGATCAGAAGTTTGTTCCATGTGGGAAGAAGTGAGATGCTGCTGGAAGTTCATTCTTGTGTCCGGCGCTCGTGTGCTACATGTGTAGCGCAGAAAGTGGTACAGCTTGTGTAAATTGCCTACTTCTGGTCCAGCGTGATTTTCTTCAAGGCATCTTGGGCAAGAAGAACAAAGGGATAAATAAAGCACCAGCTTTTATATTCAAGAAATAGCATCAAACTTCAATTTCTGCAATAAGGATTATTATGGGCAAATTGTGAGTTTTTGATCTTCCATTTTGTATTGATGTTGGACTCTTAAATTCTGTCAGTAGGTATGAGCTCAGTGAGTTGGAATGTCACCACTATTCCAAAGAAAAACTGGTTAAAGACATTTGCTGGAAGAACACCTCAAAGGGCATTCCTAAGCCAAATCCCTTTGGAGGAATTCTGGATGCAATTAATTCTCGATTAGCAAAAATGACCATCTTTTAATTTATCTTGGGCTTTGTTTCTGGTTCCATTTTGTTTGCCCTTTTGTAAAGAGAACATTGCTTTAAAATTCTCATGATTCTCTAATTCCCTGAGAAATGTTTTGTCTGAGTCTTAAAGTCTGACACTGCAGAAGCTGGCACACACAGTAAATGATAGCCCTAAGAAGAAATTGCTGGAAGTCCTTGGTGTTACCTTAAAGAAAAAAATAGACCAAGAGAAAACAATTGGCTATTTTCTGAGAACGTCTTAGACAAGAAAAGTTCTTGGAGATTTGTTCTACATAAAGGTATTCTTTGATAATGAAAGAGATGGGTTTTATTTTTTCTATAAACCTCATTACCAAACCTATAACCAATTGCCGATCTCCTGTGTAAAACATTTTTTTTCTTTGAAACTGATTTATATGAACTGTTGGAATAACGGAACCTCAAACTAAAAATGTGTATGTAACATTGCATAAATGCACTGACTTCTTTCTGACTATATTTTTAATAAACAACATTATCCTTCATGGTCAGTTTTATTAAATTATGCACAATTAGTGTTCTTCAGAGAAGTATTTGCTTCTATGGGTGGGTTTTGGAAAGCATATTTTGGTAATTAATATTAATCTTAAACATTTTGAAGGCATGCCCATTAAAAGACTTTTACAAAGAGATGTCCCTGATCCTTACTCGTGGAGAGAGATTTGCCCTTGGGGTTCAGTGGAGAACACTGTGAAGCCACTGCTCCTGGTTTTTATGGCTCGCTGTTCTGCCTTTGACAGATGTTATCAGTCTGTTTGTGAAACAATTAGGAAAGCAAAAGAGATGGAGTCCTTTAAAGAGGGATGGGAACTCTTTGGGTAGGTGTCATTCTATGAGTTGATGTTCTCCCTGTCCCCATCTGCTTCCTCTCCCACTGCAGGTGAGAAGGACTGAGCTCTGGAGGAAATGCTGTCCTTCCTGGCCAGGAATCTTCAGGGACCCCTAGATACAAATTTGTTCCTCAAAAATCTCTGGGACTTAAGGCAACCTTGATAGACACCCAAGATGCTTGTATTCAAGTGCCCCAAATACATACATTGGCTAGCAGGAGTAAATTCATGAATTCACGTCCTTTATGTGGCACATCAAAATGCTCAGTGGGGATACTTAAGGAATTTGCACTATTACCAAGAAGATTATAGCAAGGAATATTGGAGCGGAAAACACCCCTCCAGAATGAAACACCAATGTTCCACAGGCAGCTGCTGGTTGTTGAAATGATTCCCTGTGAAGTTAGTGGCCTAAACAACACTCTGGTCCCACTCTCTTGACAATGAAGAAGTCTGGGCTTTTGTCATGACTTTTTTTTTTATGGTGATAGAGTTTCTTAGAAAAGAAATATAACAGAGAAAGAGCATGTGGCATAGACATGCTCCAAAGAGCCCTTCAGCCCATCCCATCTTGTGCCATCTTCCAAGGTTTGTTTGTCTTCCATTCCCAAAGTGTTGCTGAGGACAGAACACACAGCTCTTGGATTCCAGGCAGAGTCCCTGATGTCATTACAATGCCCAGGCCTGTGTAATGGGCTTTTGGAAAACGTTAAGTGAGGCCAGGTACTGGTGGCTTGGGAGGCAGAGATTGGGAGGATCTGGATTTCAGGCAGCCTGGGTTGGGGGGAGAGGGGGAAGGAGGCAGGCAGAATGCAGACCAATGCCGTGTCCCAAATTAGAGATGGGAATAAATCAAAACTTTACAGAAGTTAGGAGCTGGTACAGGAGATGGGTAAGGAAAAGAAGTTACTTTTAGTCAAAAGAGACCCAACTTTGCCTTTCTCCATTCCTCTCACACAGGTGTTGTATCATGAAGAAGACAGCTTGTTACTCTGAGGTAGGCTGCCACTTGTTAGCAGTTTCAAGTTTAAAGTTCTAGGAGAAAATTACAGTCAGAAGGCATCATCATGATGATTGCTTGCTCCAGTTTAAAAGCAGCCTTAAAAGTAATCAGTGGAGCTGGGCGCTGGTGGCTCATGTCTAAAATACTAGCTACTGGGGCTGGGAAGGTGGCTCAGTGGTAGAGTGCTTGCCTTGCATGCATGAGGCCCTGGGTTCCATTCCTCAGCACCACATAAACGGGGGGGTGGGGGGAGCCGGAAGTGGCGCTGTAGCTCAAGTGGTAGAGCGGCTAGCCTTGAGCTGAAGAGCTGAGGGACAGCGCCCAGGCCCAGAGTTCAGGCCTCATGACCAGACCCCAAAAAATTTTTAAAAAAAAATACTAGCTACTGGGGAGGTTGAGATCTGGGGCTTATGGTTCAAAGTCAGCTGAGGCAGGAAAGACTGTGAGACTCATCTCCATTGAACTACCACAAAGCCAGAAGTGGAGCTGTGTTTCAAGTGGTAGAGTACTAGCTTTAAACAAAAAAGCTCAGGCCCTGAGTTCAAGCCCCAGGACTGACATACACACACATACAGTTCAAGCCCCAGGACTGGCATGCACACACACACACACACACATGTAACCGGTAGAGAAGTTCAATATCTCTCCTGAGGATTTTGAGTAAATATTTAAGCTTAGGGTTTCCAACATTCTAGAGCTAAGCCAAAATAAATTATTCTCTAAGAGTTACAGGCTAATGGACTGGGCAAAATAGGTCCCCCTACCCACCCTGAGTGGACAACAGTAGAGTATCATGTTGTGATTATTTCATCTACTGTCTGTTTGCTTTTGTTTTATTGTTGCTTTGGGACCAGGCTGCCCTGAACCCCTGTGTCCTGCAACCTCTGCCTCCTGAGTGCTGGGGTTATAATGGGCACCACATGCTCTTGTCTTTCTTCTGAACAGCATTCCTGGTAGATGGAGAATAAGAAATCTGTTTTCTTCTCAAAGCATTAAGTGGTGGAAAACACCTAGAAGTAAAAGGACAAGATTTGTGGGGCTGGGAAGGTGGCTTAGCAATAGAGTGCTTGCCTAGCACGCATGAAGCCCTGGGTTCTATTCCTCAGGACCACATACACAGAAAAAGCCAGAAGTGGCACTGTGGCTCAAGTGGTAGAGTGCTAACCTTGAGCAAAAGAAGCTTGGGGACAGTGCCCAGGCCCTGAGTTCAAGCCCCAGGACTGGCAAAAAAAAAAAAAAATTAAAGACAAATTTGTGATCTTCCTCTTTAATCTTCCCTGACCACCGCACCCCCAGGAGAGCTATGGGGACGACAGGGTATTTCTGAAAGTCACTGAATAAATGTGGCATTTGTATT